GGCACAAAAAGTTGAGGAACCTTGTAATTCTTTGTTTCACGTGGATTTTATGTATCTTCCAGCCGTGAATTACATAGAGTGCGCTGTAGCCTGTGTACTGGTCTTTCTTTTCTTGACTCTGATATAGTAGAGGTAATAACTAGCCTGAAGCCGTGAAATCAGAAAGCTTCTTTGTTTTGGAACTTCTTAATATGCATTACTGTGTTGCTGTTCCTTTTATTTTTTGCCTTGGCCATTGAAGAGGTGAAAACCACAGGCAACCCCACGACCGAGGGGTTTCCTTAGCCTGTGTGATACTCTGAAGGGCAAGAAGAGCAAAGTCACCACAGCACTGCAGAGAGGTGATTTTCTCTCTAGACGGCCATATGAAAGACTGCAAAAGAAGCTACAGCTACAGCGCGTCGGAAAGGAAGCAGCGAAGTCTCCCCTTTTTTATCAGAGCTGTGGCTTTACATTTCATTTCACAGTAATGTAACTTACTGAGTTTCCACACCAAAGGCAAAGTGCCCACACGCAGAAAAGCAACAACAAAATGAAAAAAAAAATGTCACGCAAACTCGTCTATTTTATTCATTACAGTATATATTAGGAATTTTGCCGACACACCTGCACCCTTATTTTAATTCATTACATTTCATCTAGCACAACCTAAACTCCCAGTGAGCTGCATCCTCTTGTTATATGGCAAGAACTCTATGTTTTTATTTTAGTGCTGAGCTCATGTTGTGAGAGGTTTGCCTGACAACACTGTGATTTTCACCAACACACAGGGGTCACTCCAATTAACGCAGCTAAGTAGCATTTTTACTGCACTGCTGTTAACAGTCACAAAAGGCCATAGAATGGGAAAGCGAAATATTCTGATCTGTGGCAAGCTTTCTGTTTAAAATGCACTTTTCCTCTGAGACAATGAGAAAAAGTAATAAACATTAATATAAAAAATATGAATATAACTTGTGTTGTATACATTGAATGCTGGATTATTATCATAATGTTATTGTTACCATGATAATATATGTTGTTTTGTTAATATTGATGATAATATAATTATAATTGAATGCATTACCATAAATAATTTGCACTCCAGACCAATGTAAAGTTCTTTTTTTAATGCTTGATAAACTCCTTTATTTCACTCATAGCGATTTAGAAAGAGCAACGAGCTCACGTTGCTCAAAGTGGTTGAAACCAAAGCTAAAACACTAAGCCTGTAAAAAATAAAACAAAACCTGACTATGTTTTTGCTAGTTTACTTTTAAAATAAATCACGTTTTCATTACACTTCTGAATATAAACCAAAAACAGCAAATGGGTAAACTTTCCATAATTTATTAAAATTTTATGAATTATAAAGTGATAATGAGGAATCTCATTTATGAAGTGTAGCACAGGACTGTACATGATTATTTTAAAAACAACTACAAATATCACTGCTTCTGCATGCTCCAATAACAAGTTGCTCGGGGGAGTAAGACCTGAGATTGGCGAGAACGTGAATTAAATGAAAGTAAAAAGTTTGATGAAAGTGATTCAATTTAAAATATCTAAATACTGATATTGAAATACAGACGTCAGAGAAAAAATGAAACATTACATTCTTAAAAGATGTCACAAGGACACATCTTAGTTTGGGTTGTTATGACAACATATTCCATTTCACACATTGTACAAAGTCAGCAATTGTATGGAAGCGTTGTTAGTCTGCCTTTGGTCTTTATTACAAGGATTAAAATTGTGCTCATAGTTTATTATATAGAATATTATATCATTCACAAAACCAAGCAAAGAGGCAGAATAGACAGTTTAATCTGAAAAACACAATCCTGCAGAACTGAAACTCATTCTGCTAATGGCAGTCCTGTACCCTAAGCAACTTAAGAACAGGGGGCCTATGACAACTATAAATCAAACAGCCCCACACGGCCGTAAAATCAACCTCCCATTCATGTCTGCTCTTGTTTGAACATGTGCTCTGCCTTGGTTTCTCAGTACATACACAACCTGGTGTTTTCTTTCCCCTATTACAGGGAGACCATATTAATTAATCAATTAAATTACGTGTCATTTTCAGACTTTTCATAGAAATAGAAAACATTTTTCAAAGATTTCTAATTCATAACGGTGGCTTACACTTTATGTCTAAACATCTTTGCCTGTAGTAGATGTGTTCTCATTAAAGGCAAACTCGGTTATCTTAAGTTTTATTTCTGGGTGTATACTGAGGGAAGTGTATTTTTACAAATAACAATTACTTTCTTTGATTATTTTTATTAAACACCAACCTTCAGACTGTACAAACCAGACCTGACAGAGATTTTATGTTTTTTAGTTTGCTGTAATTTCATTGGCGTTAGAGGCCAGGTAACCTGTCTTGTGTATATACAGTATTTGTCTCTTCCCACAAAAGGGAACCTGGTGAGTTTGCCCAATTAGGTCATGCTTGTTTCATTCCTCTTCAGGATTTCATTACATGTAGGCCATAGGACAAGCTGCAGCACACTTATGTCTCCATTTAGTTTATTCAAGAGAAAAATCACTTTTGGTGATAAAGTATCGAAATCAACTATAAAATGCCATAGCAACCACACTTCTGTTTTATTCTTCATATTGTTACTGCTTTTTACAGTACTTTCACCTGTGTTTCTTCTTTTATTATTGTATTCTATGTAGTTTTTATATATGTACAGCATATATACAATTTCCTCGTACTTTCACATAGAGAAAGTGGTTTGCACAGAAATGCAGTATGTTTTTTTAGATTTTGAAAGCACTAAATACAACTGAAATGTTTTAGAAAACATTTTGTGTAAATACTGTATCACCTTAGCTAAAAATGGAAAAGGAACCATACTGTGCAATATTACAATTTAACAGATATGCATGAAAGCAAGTAAGACTGTGATAATAGCTGATTTTATCACCAAAGTAGCAGAATACTTTTTGAAAGCCCATATTACTGGATATTTAATCTTATGTTTTAGAAGCTGTAATAGTTTTGTGATTAAGATAGGAAAAGCTGTTTTCTTGCAACAGTCAACTATAGTAACCAGCTTCATATCAATGAGGAACATACAATAGCTCCTTACAGGCTTTGCAAGAATTATGTACAACATAATAATACAAGCATAATGTATAAACTGAAACACACAAAAAACAAATTTAAAAGAAAGGAAATTTGAATGCACATCATAAAAAATGTTTTGTGTGCACTTAAACAACATTTTGGTTTATTAACTATCAAACACTTAAAAAAACAAAAAAATGGAATTGTGTCTGAAATAAAACATACCACGTCTCTTTGGTCTTGATATATAAAAACAGAAATAATTTTGTCTTCATTGAAATCCCCAAAGAAAAAAACAAATCTTAATAGCCAAGCAGGGAATATTAAATCTGATACATCATGAATAAAATGTAATTTATTAGTATATACTGCTTTCAAATAGTATCTGTATGGATAACTTTAGGAGTTTAACAATAGAAATATTATTAGTTATTTTTCATTTCATATACTGTTTAAGAAATCATTGTAAATTGTGGAAATAATAAACACTGTTCTTTACATTTTATTACTTACAATAACTTTACAAAACAAAGCAGTAATGTTTCTTGTTAATGTTACAACATTAAAGAAGGATGTAATTTGAAATTCAGAATAGAGGCAATATTTAATTATTTTAAAATACATACTGTATATATATATCCATACAAATATGTACTTTTCTATTACTTTAAATTGGATTTATCATGAAAAAGAAGACATTTTTTGTTAAAACTGTACAAATAATTAACTAAAAAAGTTAATAAAATGGTCACTCTACAAAACCCTATTTTAAATTAGCTGAACTACAGCACGCACACATTGTTTACTTGCTGGGCCTATTTCTCAATTTGTATAAATATGTGTCCTGATTTTTCTTTCTTGTGCACAAAATGAATTCTGTGTGCAAGCTGCCAGCAACAGAAAGCATTTTTCTTCCCTTTTTTAACTAAAACTAGATATAAGAAGGATAAACAACTCGAAAAGAATAACTCAGATGTTCAAAAATGTCAGATTCACTGATGAATGGCTGGGTGTATGTATCCCTTGCAACCAGCGTGCCCTAGTTTCTGACATGCTTTCGCAATGTGTTTCTCAGAGTAACAAAATACACTTCCCCACCTGCTCTGAACACTCCGTTCTAATTACGATTCCTGAGCAGCCCCCCCAAAACAAAATAAATTAATCTCACTGACAAAATAATAAAAGTAAAAATAATCCGGTTTACATAATGAAAGCTTCCATAAACCCTGTTTATTTTTGTACATTGATGAAGCAGCTTCAGGCAAAAAGAAGCGAAACAGGTTATTTTAAATTTTAAAAGCACAACCCCCTAATAAGACATTTTTAGGAATTCGAGGAAAAGTAGCATGAGTTAAGTTACCAGGACACCCAGCTTTTCTGGAGACCATGACATTGATAAATTGCCAACAGTCAGAAATATGCTGCTTGACAGCAGCTTGAAAGATAATTCACATTAATGACTGCAACTGAGTCAAAGGACTCGAAGGTAAAAGAAAAGCCCAAAATCGAGGGCTCAGATACAATATATACATCTTTTTTAAATTAAAAGTGACTTTCAAATTTTTTTGGGAATGCTCTAGCAACCAAATAAGGATGCCAATAAGAGCATTAAAATAGAGCAAGTTATTTATTTCATTCAGATAGCTGCGTCCTTCACACAATCTACTGCTTCCTCACAGTGGTGAAAGGAGGAACACGTGCCACAACTTTCTGGTGCAACATAAGCTGATCTTCTAGTTGTGATGTAGAAAGACACAAAAAAGAAAAGAAAGACCATCAAGACTCCTATTCACTCACACCAGTTCTGTCTAAGGAACAACTTTCTTTTGCCAAAACTCCAAACTTTGCCTGGAACTCCCACCTGACCACATCTCTGGACTGCTCCTCTGCACCCCAGTCCGATAAACGTTCAGTCAGAACATCTCAACAGACTTACCAAAGAGCTTGCCGGGAGTGTCCTCACTGTCATTTGATTCTGCAGGCACAAGCAGAGACTCATTCAGCTCGCTGTCTGAAGTGGCCGCTTTGTCCTCACCCCTCAGCTCTGCGCTCATTTCACTCCGGAGCGATAGCAAAGGCTTACTGAGCTGCCCAGTAATCATTGGATCCTAGAATGAGCAAGAGACCCAGGTAAAACGTGGTTAGCTTTGGTGTGTGCTTTCACTCTCTCTCCTTCTCCCCTCTCTCTCTTTCCCTTTTGCGCGCTCTCTCTCTCTCTCCTTCTCCCTTATCTGAGTCTGATGCTGCTCCTGCTGTTATTGCTGGCTGCAGTCAAGTGAAGAGCTATTACAGATCGCATGAGTTTTCCATTACTCCCCACCCTATTAAAGGTCCATACCACTGAAGAGGCTATAGCTACTTTAACGCACGCATATGTATGGAAACACGTACATTTCTAAAAATATACATATGCTTAAGTATGCATGAATATATTTCCTATAGCATATTTATGTACAGTATTGATAGATAACAGAAACATATTTACTGTGCACTTAAGACCAATTAAGCACTGTAATTATCTGTTTAATTTGTTAGTGTGATGTTTCCTGAATTCACGCCACTCTGAGAAGTAGCGAGAAGACAAAGTAATGTGTATTGATATGAAACACACTGAATGGTGCTTTTAATTCCAATGATTCGCTCACATTGATATCAGTACAACACAGTTTAAAATAATGCTGCACAAACACAAAGTACATTGGGCTCCACACCACATACTGGGACTCATTCAGACAGCCCTGCTTTCCAATAACACATCAGTTTGAACTTATATTGGTACTTGTACATCTAGCCAAAAACAAAAAACTGCTAAAATAAAAATTTGTTGCAGCAGCAGTATTTTTTTAGTGCTCTGACAGCACACCAGTCTTTTCATGCTATACCTGTATATCCAGGACTCAGTGTGGCACTTCAATTAAACCAACAGAAACAGCCTTCCAACATTCAAGAGCAAAGGACTATGAATTTCAGATTGTACTTACTGAAAACATTATTCCACACTGTGATCGTGGGCTCCTACTACAATAACAATAAAGTTACTTTCCTCAACAGTGAAGACGATTCCAAGTTCAAAAACAAAATCAGCAGCAGAGCCCTGTCCATGCAAATTTGGAAGTCTCAGCTTTCTTTTTCCGACAGTCCTCAGACTTAAGTGTCTAACTTCGGCTAAAGAGCACGGCAATAAACGACACTAATGGGGAGAGAGACAAAACTCTGCAAGGGCATGGTCGGCTATTTATTGCCACGTTTATGCCTAAATGGATCTGGGCTGGGAACAGGTGACCAGCGCGTGCATTCGGCCAGGAGCGGAGCTGCCTTTCCGCTGTCCACTCATCCTCACATTGGTCGATGTTCTGACGCCTGTGGGGGCTTTTTAATGTATTCATCTCTGAAATCAGGGATTTGATATGACACATGATAATCTATGAAAATGTTAATCAATAAAAATAGTTTAAGCTGTCATCAAATGCGCCACAGTGGTCAATACTCATATCGCTGCAAACAATGTCACTGTCATCGGGGCTTAATTTGCACAGCACTTAAATATTGGACTCTGTGCATCAATGCACTCCGCTCTGAGATAGGTAAACACATTTTCTCTCTATTTAAGCCTGCCGCACTCTACATGCATTTAGCTGAGCCAAATCCTCCCCTTTGAATAGTTTGATAGGACCACTGGAGGGCAAAATTAATACTTAATTGAATCTCGCAGTCATCAAAATAATCAATACTTTTTTATTATTTATTCTTTACAGTCTGTTGACTGTTTGAAACCTCAGAGGAATGGTGGAAAGCATTGATGGTGTTGAAATACTGTCATTTAACAATGTAATTTTCAACCGGGGCATTAGGGCTTACGAAACATATAATAAAACAAAAAAAAAATCAGGCTGAAGCTGGCAAATAAGGGGAGAAACGGAAAATGGAATTATATTTTTCTGCCATCTGTAACAAAAAGAGAGGGACAAATAAAAAAGCAACTGCAGCAAACACATCTAACGGAAGGGCAGCCCCCACCCCAACCCCCAACCCATCTCTCTCTCTCTCTCCCCCCTTTTTCTTTGCCTTTTTTGAAGGTTTTATCATATCAAGAGCAGAGCAGTGCTTTCATAATGCTGACATTTCTCTTCCTGACAACCCTAAACAAGTGGAAAGGATGAGATCCCTGATATCATCTTTCATCACCCTCTCAAGTTTAAGAAACAACATGACAGCTCCTCTCCCCTCTTACACTGTTAATTACTTAAATAAAATACTAATCTCTGAGCAACATTAAACCAAGGCCAATATGTATATTTCAGCACAAGTGTTGGGCTCTAGAGAGGGATTGCCTTACTCTGGCTTACTTCATTATCACCGCTGTGTAAGTACAAGGTAATGTACTCCCTTAATTCAAAAACCATGCAGTCTGGCTCTGCTGCACACAGCGGTCATCAGATATCAGTGCTAATTGCTAATGGCTTGAACCACATTTTACCAAGTATGCTGATTTTATTCCAACACAGCTTTATCCTGCTACAGTGCATCCCTGCAGTAACTCACAGTTTAGTAGATTAGCTGTTCACTAGGTTTCTCTGTGACTTACATTTCTTTTTGCTTTTATGCTTATTAATGTAGTTTTGTGACTTGTGGTGTGAAGTTAGTTAGTTTATTTTAGTTTTTCATTTTTATAGTTAGTTACTCTTAATATTTTAATAAAAATATAATAAACAATTACGTATTGTGCTTCATTATTAGTGTTTCCTAATAACATGTTGTATTTTAAATGTGATACAGTATCTGTTCATTCTGCTTATTTTCAAATACTAAATCTTGAACTGGAATGGCAGGGCAACAAAATTGTACATTAAAAATGTCCACGCATTTCTAGGGCATGCTGACAAATGTGGCTTCAATGAAGGGTTAATCCTTAAATCACTCACAATATAGCCTTGAAAGGACAGTCAAATGACAATATGAGTTTTTCACCCTGCTGTTCTAGCTGACTTATAGCGTTTGACAAAAGGAATGAAGAATACAGTGAGCCTCGTTATCTAAAACTCACACTGGAATCGACCAAGCTCTAATGGAAGTGCACCTCATGTTGAGTATGCCTGCTCCTCCAGACAGATGTATATGATGCAGAATGGATTGCTGACAATAATAATACAGAAAAGAAAGGAAACATCAGTGTAAACCTAGATTTTCACTGAGGACTTCAAAATATTTGTATAACAGGAGCTAATGGTATCTACGAACAGGTGCAGGTACAAGACCGGGGAAACTATAATAATTGTGTTAAAATAAAAAATAATGATACAATAACCACCAATGTGGTCAGCCTTTTCTATGGCATTTTACAGTCATATGACAGTGTCAGCAACCAATACCTTCATGTCCACAAAACTGCTCCTTTTTTTGCCCTTTCAAAACACACAGATTATGAAAGCACAAGAGAGCATTAATGAAGCCCATCATACTCCTAAATGTGTTCTAGATGGTCTAGATTTGGTTTTGCATCTATTAAATCATACGATAGCTATCTGAAGCTGTTCAGAATTTATCTGCCTCATAAATACCATATTATTGTGAAAAAGAATGTTTGAAACAAACTGAAGTTCCATACTTAAGAACCTAGCGAGTTCTCCCAAATAAGAATTCAGATCCGCATGTTCTTGAGAGCTGTGCAGTCTTCCAGTGACTGGTTCTGGTTTCTGCCAAGTGATGTCATGACTACGAAAAAAAATGCATGCACTCTGAAATGAAATGGAGCATACTTTCTCCCAGGCAGGTCTGAAATGACCAGATTATTCACCTCATACATGTGTGCACAAAAACAAACCATTTTTACAACTGGATGTGAAAACATGTGAATGGATCTCACACTTTTGGGGTTTTCTGTTGTACAATGTAAAGCTGTTCGTAAAAGGGACTAGTGAAATACACATAAAACAAAACAATCAATTGGATTTAGTTTTTTTTAAAGAAAACAGTAATTTTAAAAACTAGCATTATATGGTTTAAAATTTTAATTTTCACTCCTGAAGTATCAACTCGATAATTTCTGTACGTATACATATATTATATATGCTTTATCTATATTATTAAAACTCTCACATTAAATTCGGTAACTGAGTCAGATAACAATGCAGCTTTATGTGGAATTTTTCAAACCGTGTTCTTTACTGGATAAAGCTCATTTATGTTTTTTGTGACAAAGTTGGTACCATACAGTACATGCATTTTGAAGTTTGATTCCTTTTTGCCTCATATGGAAACTATATCTTCATTGTATTGATTTTTTTTGTGCAGCATGTAACGGCTTTGACAATCGGCACATTGATGTTTTCATTGATGGAGAATCCTGGACTTTCTTTGACTGTGTTTACACAGTTTTTCCTAGGACATCTGCCAGAAATGTGCATTCAATTTGAAAATTTCAAATTCTCAAGAGGAAGGTACTTCAAGCCTCGAGCTACATTTTTTTCCACATTTACTAATTTAGTCTTTTGTTATACCAAGAGTCCATCGGATAGCAGACCGAAGATAAAGGCTTCGTATCGAAAGGTGAAGCCGAGGAGCTACTGTTTCTCTGCTGCATGAAGATCTCAGCAGCTTGAATCATCTTAGATCCTCATCTTAGATCGCAGGTGCTTAATTGGCCTGCTCAGCGCCTTTAAAAAATAAAGTGTACTATAAATCAATTACTATCAATTCTTCTGAAGCAGGACATCAAGTAAAAAAAGTATTGTAAGGTAGCGATGCACTGGACAAATTAAATGAATTTTAACACCTTTTGAAGGAGGACTGATATTTTTTTATAATGTCTTCTTCTCTTCTCCAGGCTCTGCAGAAGCAGTGATGGGCTCTGTTTGTCTAAGCCCCTAGTGTTAGCTTGACACACCTCACTTTTCATGCTGTGCAGTTTTGTCATTGTCAAAATGCCCTGGGGACTTTCAACCCCATGGCACACAAAGCCCATCCCACGTGTGATATACATTAAGCCACAAAAGCTTTTAGATCACAGCAACAGACTTACTATCCAACATATACTCAATATTCAACATCAGTTTAGAAACAAAAGCCAATCATTGAAATGGAATGAAGATACATTCATACTGTACATAAGATCCAATTCCTGCCGCCTGAATTCTTAAATTGCGGACCTTGAAAGTACTTTTGTCTGATGTGCAAATCACCAAAACAAAGAAAACAATACCAAAGCAATAAAGCATCGATATATAGTACGAGAACTGTTCGACTTCTTATTTGCGATGCAGCTGATCCCTTATAGGGGTCAGTCCCTACCAAGTTAACCACACATTAATTTCCTGTTCATCTGTTACAAGTTATAATGAATTTATAAAAGAACATTTCAATCCATGAAGACAAAAGTGTGATAAAAATAAAACCTGCCAAAACATTGGTGTGTATTAATGCTAAAACTCCCTCCAAAATACAGATACTGTACATAACCATATCTAAGCAGTCTACCCTCAGGTTCCTGCAGTGAGTCTCTTTGAAGTTCGTCCAGGAACTTCAAAGGTCCAGTAATGTTAGGATTTTGGCTGGTGTACCGGCCCTGTCAGGAGGATCCCATGTACACTCTATGAGGTTAAGGCTGAGAATCAAGGGTCATGACACAACAGTGAAAGGGGATGTGGTAAATCAATTAAACTCATCTTGGTGGGTTATTTAATCTTTTTTATTCAGTGATGAAAAGCACTAAGCTTTTGTCTGGGGCATCGGTACTCATTTTAGTACATCATGTTTGCTCCAACATCTTATTACTTCCACCCAGTTTACTTTCTGTCCTTCATTTGAAGGTCTTATTGTCAAATTTGGTTGAGTAATCAATTTCGCCTTTTTTTTAAAGGTAATGAGTCTGAATTCTGTATTTCCCCCCTTTGGAAATCTAAGATACCATCACTACACTGTGAAAGAAATCCAACGGCATCTTAGCCAAAGTGAGAAAGGCTGTGGTGAGATGTACAGTACTCATGTTTTATGTCATTGTATAAATGTAAAACCAAAAAGTTGAAGAATGCCAATAAATAAGAAAACATTCAGTCAGCACTGGCT